AGTTTAATATAGACAAATGCAAAGTTCTAAATGTTGGACAGGACAATAACCATGCCACATATAAACTAAATAATGTAGATCTTAATATTACGGATTGCGAAAAAGATTTAGGATTTCTGGTTAGCAGTAATCTGAAACCAAGACAACAGTGCAAAGTGTTCGCAATAAAGCTAATAGAATCCTTGGCTTCATATCAAGAAGCATAAATAATAGGAGTCCTCAGGTTGTTCTTCAACTCTATACATCCTTGGTTAGGCCTCATTTAGATTATGCTGCACAGTTTTGGTCACCGTATTACAGAATGGATATAAATTCTCTGGAAAATGTACAAAGGAGGATGACAAAGTTGATCCCATGTATCAGAAACCTTCCCTATGAGGATAGACTAAGGCCCTGAAACTGCACTCTCTAGAAAGACGTAGAATTAGGGGGGATATGATTGAGGTGTATAATGGAAGACAGGAATAAATAAAGGGGATGTAAATAGTGTGCTGAAAATATCTAGACCCAGACAGGACTCGCAGCAATGGTTTTAAGTTGGAAAAATTCAGATTCAGGAAGGATAGGAAAGTACTGGTTTGGTAATAGAGTTGTGGATGAGTGGAACAAACTCCCAAGTACCGTTATAGAGGCCAGAACGTTGTGTAGCTTTAAAAATAGGTTGGATAAATACATGAGTAGATGTGGGTGGGTGTGAGTTAGACCTGATAGCTGTGCTACCAGGTCGGTTGCCGTGTTCCTCCCTTAAGTCAATGTGACCTGACCTGACTAGGTTGGGTGCATTGGCTTAAGCCGTAGGAGACTTGGACCTGCCTCGCATGGCCAGTAGGCCTTCTGCAGTGTTCCTTCGTTCTTAATGTTCTTTTCTTAATAAATGTATGAAAGAGGGGAAGGTACCTAGGGATTGGCGGAGAGCATGTATAGTCCCTTTATATAAAGGAAGGGGGACAAAAGATATTGTAAAAATTATAGAGGAATAAGTTATACTGAGTATACCAGAAAAGTGTACGGTAGGGTTATAATTGAAAGAATTAGAGGTAAGACAGAATGTAGGATTGCAGATGAGCAGGAGGTTTCAGAGTGGGTAGGGGATGTGTAGATCAAGTGTTTACATTGAAACATATATGTGAACAGTATTTAGATAAAGGTAGGGAAGTTTTTATTGCATTTATGGATTAGAAAAGGCATATGATAGAGTGGATAGGGGAGCAATGTGGCAGATGTTGCAAGTATATGGAATAGGTGGTAAGTTACTAAATGCTGTAAAGAGTTTTTATGAGGGTAGTGAGGCTCAGGTTAGGGTGTGTAGAAGAGAGGGAGACTATTTCCCAGTAAAAGTTGGTCTTAGACAGGGATGTGCAATGTCACCATGGTTGTTTAATATATTTATAGATGGGGTTGCAAAAGAAGTAAATGCTAGGGTGTTCGGGAGAGGGGTGGGATTAAATTATGGGGAATCAAATACAACATGGGAATTGACACAGTTACTTTTTGCTGATGATACTGTGCTTATGGGAGATTCTAAAGAAAAATTGCAAAGGTTAGTGGATGAGTTTGGGAGTGTGTGTAAAGGTAGAAAGTTGAAAGTGAACATAGAAAAGAGTAAGGTGATGAGGGTATCAAATGATTTAGATAAGTCCAATAAAGTCTGATAACCAAAAATCTGGGACCTTTACCGGACCTTGAAGGTGCTGAAGCTGGAAGCAGTAGAAATTCAGACAATCACTCTCTCAGCCTAACAGCAGGTATAGTACACAACCTTACTCTTGATGGACCTGTAGCATTGACAGGAAGATGAACGCTTGTATACCAGCGTCAGATACAGTGAAGCAGATATACACTAACGCCAGTATACAAGCGACCACCTTCCTGCCTATGCTTCACATTCATCACGATTTAATACCCAATAAAGTCACTGATTAGCGAAAGGTCTTTACAATAAAGTTTCCCAAGTGTTGCATGTGTCTTAATTCATCAACTTGTCCTGATTGTGTACCATTAACGTTTATGATCTAGTAAGCAATACCTAGTATGCCTGCCGTGACCTAGCATAATCAAGTGTGCCTTAGTGAGCATGACCTAGCTAAGCATAAGTCTATAGAGTTTAGCCTAGTGTGCAATAAACTTCATTCTTGTGAAACTGTAACAGATCACCCACTATGGATATTGGTTTTCAAGGGAGTTTCCGTTTATATCAAGACAAACCAGTAGACTGAGCTTAGTGAAACACACAAGTTACTTTCCTATGCATGACACATACCATAGTACTGTATTGTAAAAAAAAAATAATTATTTTTAATTAGGCTTTTTTTTTTTTTTTTTTTTTCAACAAGTCGGCCGTCTCCCACCGAGGCAGGGTGACCCAAAAAAGAAAGAAAATCCCCAAAAAGAAAATACTTTCATCATCATTCAACACTTTCACCACACTCACACATTATCACTGTTTTTGCAGAGGTGCTCAGAATACAACAGTTTAGAAGCATATACGTATAAAGATACACAACATATCCCTCCAAACTGCCAATATCCCAAACCCCTCCTTTAAAGTGCAGGCATTGTACTTCCCATTTCCAAGACTCAAGTCCGACTATTTGAAAATAACTAGGCTTATTATTATAATTAGGCTTATTATTTACAATAAATTGTACGTCTTAGATATAAATTAATATGACTGAAATCTCTATTGGGAACTATGTAAATGTGTGTGTTGTAAAGGTTGTTAAACTTTTTACAAATGTCTTACTGCTCCAGAAAAGTTATGATATATACTTTAGAAATTTTACAAATAAAATTAGTAAATTGGAGCCTACCCCCCCCCCCACTTAAACTTAAGCTTCCTGTAAGACACGTTAGTCTTACAGGAAGAATCATACTCTAATTATTCCATGGAATCCAACGATATCAAGGTTTTAATCATGTTAGGATAATGATAAATTTGCACATATACAACAAATTTATAAATTATCATATCCCTCATAAAATGCATCAGCATTAAAGGTATGAATGAAGTTTATCTGAAGAAGTATTCTCATTTATTGAACAGAAATAAATATCACACTTTGAGTAATAAAACTGGCAAAATGGGACTCGCAAAGTCCAGTGACAACGAACACTCTCTGCTGATAAAACATACTTATTCTAAAAGTTTGAAGCCTATCAGAAGAGGCATTTTCTATCTCAAGCCAATGATTCCAAGTTTTTTAACTGTGTTAGTACAGTGGCAAATTTGCACCTATAAGTTTAACTTAAAGTTGTAATTCTTTGCATATGATGCGTCAGCCATTACGGATTTAAGCTGTTCAGAGGAGGCATAGTCAAAATATTTCATGAAAAAAGAGACTACATTTTAAAATAAAACTTGCAAATTGGCACATACACATTCCAGTAATAATCCCAACCTCCTTCTAGGTAGGATGTACCAATGTTGAAAGTTTGAAGCCAATCAGAAGAGGCTTTCTCAAGTTATTTCACAAAACCCAAATTTACGTCTGGTGTACATAAAACTGACCAGAGGTCACTTTCACATGCCGCTAGTTGCATTAATCAGTATTGAAAATTTGGCAATTGAATGAGACGTTCTCTAGTTTATTATAAAACGTAAAAAAATGAAAGAATTAAAAAAATAACCAACCACTTAAAATGTGCCCCTCCCGGGCTTCATAATTGTGTTCGTGCACGTCCATTATAAAGTTGGTAATTTAATATGGAGTTGTGGCTTGAGTGCCTTTCAAATGCAATATTAGAACACCTGATCGGCTTCAAATCTTCTGCGTTGGTGTACATTAGAGGACGTGTCTGATTGTTAGTCCCCTGTGTAGGTGCGAATCTGCAAATTATATATATATGGAAATAGTTGGTGGTTTAAGCGCGATTAGCTTCACACTTTCAACAAATGTATATCGTATCCAGAAGGAAATTCGGCTTGTTATTGGAGTGTGTACTTGTCTATTTTACCATTTAAATTTTAGGGTACAATTTTTTTTTTTGCTAGATACACTGAAAATTCTTCGCCTGATCGGCTTCAAACTTTCAATACTAGTGCATTTTACTCAACTGAAATTTTGCAGTGTTAATAGAGAGTGAAAGTCCGAATTTGACAACTTTATTAAACGAGTTGGGTTACTGGTTTCCATGTGATAACTGACTGGCTTCAAATCTTCAGTACTGATACGTACTGTAGCTAGAGGATGGTTGGGATTATTGTAGCTCCTGGTCTTCTCCAAGGTTTAATTGGTATAGTTATATTTATGGGTGGAACGCTAAATCCGTAGGGGGTCATACAATGCCTGGAAGAATGGAAGGCAATCTAGTTCGATCCGAGAAATGGAAGCTTGGTCAAATTCCTTTAAAAATGAGCCCCTCTCCCTTAAGAGACCAAGGTGCTGAACTCCAGCTCCTGGACTTCTTGCGAAGATTGAACAATAGCACCTAGGTCTCTTTAAGGACTTTAGCTGCCCTTAAATTGTTGAAATTCAACCATGCCTCGCTAAAATACGGTAATAAAGTAATTTAAAACCGCATATAAGTTACACTAAGATTTGTGACTTAATTTGTCTGCATAAATAACATTACGACTTTAACCATATATAAATATGTAAATAATTCACTACCTCTGTAACTTGTTTAACTATCAGAACTTTGGGGTTCAGTCCCTAAACCCATTATGTGCCTTTAATATTCTGACCACAGCCCACATCATGGGTATGGGTTGACTACCGCCATCACCATGGGTATGTGGTACATAATGAAGACATTAAACTAACTTCTGCGCATCTTGAGGGTTTGGAGATTCAACTACTATGCTTCTTGTGTGGGTTGACGTTAAAGCAGCTAGGGTCATGGAATACCGGGATACTTTTTTCTGATCACAAAGCCACTATAATACATTTAGTTATATTCACGGTGAAAAGGTAAATTCGCAAATCATGCAGCGCCTGAGAATGGCAGATAATAAGGTCTAATTTAAGGAAGCATAAGTAACGTAATTAATACAAGGTCACCTTGATGTTCCTGAGCTGTCTAGTGAGGCTGGCGTTGTCAGTCTTGAGAGCATCAGCGAGGGTGGATGTCTGCTGTAGGTGAGCCTCGGTGACCACCTGGGTGTGCAGGGCTCGCTGCACCTCCCTGCCCTGCGTCTCAACCTCTGCAGCCATCTCCACCACCTGCGCCTCCACCCGCGCCGTCTCCTCCATCTGCCTGCCGGCCATACCATCCTACATTCACCACAACTCAATAACCAATGTGCCCTTAAAAAAATATATGATCATGGATCCTCTAAACTATATACTTTAGTGTTTACACAACTGAGAATTCCAATTTAGGTATATTTAGTGTTGTTGACTGATACTTTTAAAATATGCCGGCCCTTTGTTTTCTGAACAAGTGTTACAAGGCAAAGCCTGTGAAAGACGGTGCACATGACAAACATTATATAATTGTGACCATTAGCGGTAAGCAACTTAAAATATGAAAGGAAAGCCGCTTTTAGAAGCAGCTTAATTTAGCTGTCATAAAACCAAACTTTTATTATTAGGTATCTGACCTTTAAGAAGTTGCCCGTATTTTCTTTTCTCTTCATATTTTTTTCTTCCATCAACTTTTCCATTTTATTTTGTTCATAACTCGAGAACGCCTCATCCAATCGATTTCAAATTGTCAAAACGAGGAGCAACGAGGGAAACGAGGATCACATTTTGGAACACTTGGCATGTTCACGTGAACTATGGCCAAAGTTGTTCATCTCATTCCCAGCATCCTGAAATAACTCGTATAACTTAAAAAAAATCTTCATCGGCGTAGCTTCAAACGTTCAAAAAAAAATTGTTTTTAACTCGACGACGGAGAAAAGTGAAGATCAAATGTGTAGGTGCAGGTGTGATCATGTTATGTGTGAAATAGTGGGAAATTTTTATTCTCTTTAAATCACGTTAAATAATATTGTTTACTTCTTTTGAACCACTTCAGTATTTAATGACTGATGCATCGTAGCACTAGGAGAGTATATTAAGTTTCGTTTGTGTGCAGATAAATTTGTTGATGTAAAATAGTAAAAAAGAAAAAATCTTTTAATCGTTAGAATCTGTCATAACTGCAGAATGACAACTGATCGGCTTCAAATTTTGACCACTGACTCCAAATTATTACTGACGATACATTCTAAAAGAAAGATAACCTATAAATTTAGTCTTAGTAGATGAGAATTTGAAATTTTACTGAAATAAAAAAATAAATTAATGGCATCAGATCAATTACTGGGAAATATATTTTTCTGATCAGCTTCAAGCTTTTACCATTGGTAGGCTTTATTAAAGCAAAGTTTGTCACTCTGAGTTGTGTAAATTTAAATTTGCCAATTATTTTTTTTATTCGCCGGTAGTCTTCCGGCCCGGGTCTTTTCCAAGAGCGGTGACCCGGCCTTGGCTCCCTATCTGGGGAATGTCTCGAGACCTAAGTCTCCCATGGGAGGAGGTACAAGTACCCCCTCATCTTTGGGACCAACTGTCCCCAGGCCTAGCCACAGTCCCCGCCCTCACGGGGCTCGCAGGGAGAAGCTAGGCCTCTGGTCTGCCATCTGCCCCGCCCCAAAGGGGCTCGTGGGGATGGCAGTCTTGTCAGCTGCATATTGTTTCCCATATAATAACTTGAGAATGCCTCTTGTGATCAGCTTCAAACTGTAAATGCTGGTTTATCTTAATAGGAAGTATTTTTGTATTTATTTTTGGCTGCGTGGATGCCATTTTGTTTATAATGTTATCAAACTGAATTGATAAAAACTTATAGATTTTAAACAATTTTAAATAGAATGTATATGAAAAAAAGTGGACAAAATATATAAATTCGCGTTTTTACCGAGGGAAAACTTTCCTATTCCTCAGCAATATTTTCGCTTCCTTTCTCACAAATTTTCGTTCATTAATCGAGAATACTTTATTCAATCCGCTTCAAATTTCCAAGGTTTGTGTAAGATTGATGGAAGTATTGAGATGCTGGGTGACCTCTGCACAATGCTACGAAGGTCATTCCCAGATGTTGCCTCCGTGTGATATGTGGAGTCTCCGTGTGATAGGTGGAGTCTCCATGTGATAGGTGGAGTCTCCGTGTGATAGGTGGAGACAGCCTCCGTGTGATAGGTGGAGAGTCTCCTCTGACCACCTTCATAATGTCAACACTGGTTGTATCCAACTAAGGAGAAGGTTGCTGTATTAACAGTGCCTCTAGATGACATTTTGTCACTTTTAATCTAGAAATGGTATAGTAGCATTTTACCTTGTTGCATTATTATGCCTTAAAGCTGGTGAGAGGGCTCTTGATCCAAGGAATTGGACTTATCTTCCTCTTGCTTGGAACGAATTTTAATGCCTCTCATTCCAGAGGCGCTACATGACCCCTACGGACTTTACGCTTTCCTCTGATAATTCAGGTATAATAATTATGATCAACATCAATCTTCAATGGTCGATACATCGTATAAAATGATGGAAAGTTTCTTGGGTTTAGGCTGTGTAGGCACAAATTTTGTTGAATTCTGTGCAATAACTGGAAAACGCATCTTCTGGTCGGCTTGAAACTTTCATTCCTGATGTGTTTTCCTCAAAGGAAACAATATCTTGATGTTAGGCTGTGAAAGTTATCATATGCCAATTTTATTACTCAAATTGGTTTCTATGAATTAACTGAAGAATATTTCTTCTGATCAGAAGTCAGTATTTATATGGTTATCTTAGGGTAAATCAAGATAATGCTCTTTTATGTGCCTTTAACATTTGTGTGCCCCTAAAGACCATCGTCAAAATTTGTACGTTATATACACTTAGCTTACATACAACTTACTTTCTTTAAAGCTGGTCAGTCTTTCTTAGAGAAAAAAAAAAACTGATTAACTTTGCCTTTTGTATGTATCAATTTACTTTTTTTGGAAGTGTAAAATTTTAAATATTGTTCTTGTAATAGTTTTTGTGTTGCATCTATTAGTTTCAACCCGTCCATACAGACTACTTGATAGTGCAACTTCTGAACGAATCAAGCTTAATGCGCTTGTCTATTTTAAGAGACTGATATCTTTGCAAGGTCTGAATTAGATCTGGGCTGGGTATGTCCTATTTATCATTTTTATTGAGGAAATTTGAATATTAGTTTCCATATGATGACTTGTGAATGCCTCTTTTGATTCCTTTCGTATCTTTAAAGCTAATTTTTAACTGCATTAACTGATGCCACACTCTGCACTATTCCAGTCGCATGCACTGAGGTACTGGGGACTGAGGTTGTGGAATAACCCCTAATAACTAGATGTATTTCGGTCGCGGAGATACTGAAATACATTAGTTACTATTATATTCACTGAGACGCTCTGAACGGCTAGAGATCAAATAATAGGTGATGATGGGAAGGTAATCAGGTTTGATTCGAGGAAAAGAATAGTAACTCCAATTCCACCTTGAGATGAAATATTATCATTACACCCAAGTCTATAATAAAATGTGAGGCAGAAGTGGCGAGGAGTTAGCAGGCGACAATCACGCCCCTTCCTCTCTGACTGTAAAATAATGAAGGAAATAAATTTGTACCTGTTTCTGGCGTGTTGCAGAGCAGTGATGAGGCCGTCCTGCTTCATGAGGTCACGATGTGCTTTGGTAAGCTCCCTCTCAACGTTCTGTCGTTCAACCTCCCTAATGTGCACCAGCCCCGCGTGTTTTTGTACAGTCCCTGTCACCAAAACAAAACAATGTAACACTGGTCAGGTTACATGCAACATATCTTTGGTAAATGAATATGAACACTATAACAACTTTTATTTATGAATGTTGTAACAAGGAAACTCAAGCATTTAGTGCCTTTCACATTTTAAGTACAACCAGACCGAACACTGTACTGGTCCATCAAATTAAAAAAAAATAATGGATATTATATTTCAAGTGAATTATTATTATTATTATAATCAAGGGGAAGCGCTAAACCCGGAGGATTATACAGCGCCTGGGGGGGGGGGATGTGGAAGGCATTCAGGCTTAATTCGGGGAACTGGAGCACAGATCCAATTCCCTAAATCAAGAGCCCCTCACCAACATCAAGGAACCTTCCTTGAGGGGTATTTCAAGTGAAGTCCAGACATTACTCAGTAGTTTTATTAAATATAATTTATGCTACCGTATGGTATCCTAGAGAGCTTAATAATTTCCTTGTAGTTTTAGATAACTATTAACACCAAAAAGAGAGCTACCACATTTAGGTTACAATATTTCTAGAAAGCAGGCACTCTGCGAGCATTAAGTGCCTTGGACCTACCAAGGGTCTTGACGTAGGTGCGGTGCAACATATCTCTCTCCCGCTTTAGCTTGTCAGCTTGAGTAGTCACCTTCTGCCTCTGCCTCTCCTCCGTCACCGCCTGCTTCTCCACCACCTGTGGTTAATACCACAACCAAACTTAGTTTGCCAGGATTAGAGCTATCGACAACACGTCGCTCATTAAGGCTGCAATTTACCTGTACACAAGCATCAGAATACTTTAAACTCCAAAAAATACTCAAAATGAACTCTCGGTTGATGTAGAGCAAGAAATATATCCAATTTGATGTATATATGCTATTGAAACTAAAGTTAACAGGTAATTATAATTTTATTCGAGGAAAACATTAAACTTAAGTAGGTTAGCGTTAAGGTTCATGATAAATAACAGAGTATTAGATAGTCTTTCTGAGAGGTGAACGTGCCTATATTTGTTTTCGTTAATACTATTTATTGTCTGGTGATTATTATTATTATTATTATTAAGGGGGAGCGCTAAACCCGTAGGATTATGCAGCGCCTGTGGGGGGGATGTGGAAGGTATTCAGGCTTAATTCAGGGAACTGGAGCACAGATCCAATTCCCTAGATCAAAAGCCCCTCACCAACGTCAAGGAACCTTCCTTGAGGGGTTGTCTGGTGGTAACTAGTCAAAATTACAATCCACTTAGAGATTCCTAATTATGCACGAGTTAAACCTGTGAGCGGAGAATTTTAAGGTTTGCTTAATGGCAAAAAAATATAAAAGCAGCAATGAGCCGTTTGGACACAAATGGTGAAGTTCCAAAGGAAGATTTTGTCGTGTAATAAGGGCATAGCTAAGACCAAGGATGGCTAGGGCCAAGCCTGGCGAGGGCCAGGCATATGCTAAGAGTTTAATTTAGTTCTTATTTCAAGGATTAAAGTACGTATTCTTGTCTGGCGGTGAAAAGGTTATGTGCAGCCTTAATACCGCTGGTACAGTTGATAGGCTTTCAACAACTCGAATCAACCAATATAATCGTTCTGAATCACAAAGTTAGTAGTTAAGTGTTCGTTATCATAAATATAGTTCACGAAGTGTTTCCAACAATTATTCAATTAGTAATTTATACATGTGTGTTGGAGAGTACCTTGAGCTGGCCACGGAGGTTCTTGAGCTGGAGTTCTGTGTCTGCTCGACGCTGGTCCTGACGATGTACAGTCTTCTCCAGCTGCTCGTACTGGCGTCTCACTGACGACGCTTCCTTCTGCAGCCTTACTATGTCCTCCTCTTTTAACTAAATACTCAGGTGAAGTGGAAAAATACTAGTCAATCCAAATGTATAAATATAACTGCGTTAAATCGTGCGTATTATGCCACTACTCTCCTTATTACTTCCTGAATACGTTCCCTACTTTAAAAATCCATTCCTTACTCCCCGAATTCTTTCTACACTTCCCTAATTACTTCAGCTATACCCAAATTCCTTAAACTCAGAAAACCTTCTATAACTCTATTACGCTCTGCCTAACTTTCAAATTCATTGGCTGACTGACACACGTCTCTACCATCTGCACCTCACCGTTGCTTCATAAATACTTTCGTAATATCTTGATTTTTTGTTTATTCTCTAAGTCCTTCCTTTAGCCCTAGCTTAGCCTCTTATTAATTTACCTACTGCCCTCAATATCATCTACACGGAAAGCTTCGCCACTCTAGTTTTAATATTCTAAATATTCCCTGATAATTATGTATCTTTCTTATTCTTGTAGTTGTCACACCTTGCATCCATTCCTTTCCTCTATTTCTTCTTCTTCTTATATGCCTTTTTCTTTTTACTTTCCGTGCTTATCTGTTAATTGCAATAAAAAAAATTTTTAAACTAACGAGTCACTAAAGTGAAAAGCATGAAAAGCCATCATACTGGACAGTATAAATATTATGACTTCAAGTTCAGAGAACATAAATCAACGACTAGGCAAATTGGGAAAAGTTATAAGCACTATTACTCACCCAATAATCTTTCTCTAACACCCTTATCCTATCTCCATCCATCCATCGTTTCCTATATATACTCCCATCTCCCCTTCTAATCTCCCTCCCTCTCTTCGTCCAGCGGTTTTTACGCTGGCAACTGACCTGACGAGCACCCTGGCTAGGGCTCTGGCTATAACTCTGACTAGGTCCCTGGCTATGACCCCGGCCTGGGCCCTGGCTCTGTGCTAACCTTGACAACGTTGAGAGTTTCTTTGTACGCGGCCTCCACCCTGGCCAGGACTCTGGCTCGCCCCTCCGCCTCCTTCTTCAGTCGCATCACTTCCTCCTTCCCCTCCTCCAGGAGTCGCGCCATGTTCTCCCGCTCCTCCTATAAAACCCAGAGTACAGTTTCTCTCAGCTATTAATGGAAGTACAGAGTTGTCACAGTTGCTATTTGCTAATGACACTGCTTTTGGGAGATTCTGAAGAGAAGTTGCAGAGGTTTCCGTGGACGAGGCTATGTAAAAGTAGGATATCGGATTGGAGGGGGTATGGAGGAAGTGAATGTGTTCAGATATTTAGGAGTGATCTGTCAGTAGATGGGTCTATGAAACACGAGGTGAACCATAGAATTTGATGAGGGGGAAAAAAGTGACCCGTCTTCCCCGAATATATATATATATAATATATATATATATATATAATATATATTATATATATATATATATATATATATATATATATATATATCAATGAAATCACGAAACAAGTGATTTTAAATCATTTACCAAACTGAGGCAGGCCAGAACTCGATTCTATGAACCTTATACCGCCTCCAGAGACAGCACAATGTACGCATCGCCTTACCACTTGAGCCAGCGATCCTACAATCACGCATGCAGCTGAGCTACATGTTTTTCTCGTGATCCGAGGACACTCGTGGCAGTGGTATCTCGAGGATTAATTTCAGCCTCCTCCTGAAATTAATCCTCGAGATACCACTGCCCCGAATGTCTTCGGATCACGAGAAAAACATGTAGCTCAGCTGCATGCGTGATTCTTGTAAGATCGCTGGCTCAAGTGGTAAGGCGATGCGTACATTGTGCTGTCTCTGGAGGCCTGCCGCAGTTTGGTAAATGAAAATATATATCTATAAAGTAGCAGGGATCTATCTGTACAAGTGTACTACACAAATAACGCTTGACACACGAGACCCAAAAGTCCGACCCTCTATCTCCATAGTGAAAGGATTATGAGAACAGTTTGGATATGAAACTATATGAGCAACTGGACAGAAAAACCTTGCTACTTCCCAAGATAATTCTCGATGACCTGAATCACACCTACAGCACAAATGAGTGAGCTTTGAGATGCATACCCTAATATGACTATAGTGTAAGGAAACAAAGAGCACACGATGGACTCGACACAACTCAATGTTACACATGACAGTGTCAATGTGTGATTCAACAAGGTGGTTTAGAAAGACACGCAAGCAAACACTATGACATATTTATTAGAAAACGTTTCGGTCCTAGGACCTTGATCACTTCTAACATACAGAGGTAGAAAGGCATTATATATATAGGCGGAGAGTGAGGTGTGACGCACGTGACCTGAGGAATGTCATAAGAACATAAGAATGGAGGAACACTGTAGAAGGCCTACTGGCCCATGCGAGGCAGGTCCTTATCAAAACAACCTCTGCCTATGATTAGGACGGGTAGACGATGAAATCATGTGACTCCTGTGTTGTAATAAAGTTGGTAGAATTACCGACAATATGTAAAGTAAAAGGACACAAGTGCAACTAATGTGACATTTATTGTGGCAACGTTTCGCTCTCCAGGAGCTTTATCAAGCCATTACAAACAATACATGGACACAGAGGGTATATAAAGGCTCAGAGTGAGGTGAATACTAGTGAGGTACCATTTCGATGTTCACTAGTGGTAGTAGTAGTAGTAGTAGTGGTAGTGACAAAAGTAATACAATATGGTAGAGCAATTAATTCGTACATGAGTAAAAGGATATAAAAGCTATTACTTGGGTAACATAAAAATAGGTTGGACAAATATAAACTGGAATGAGGCAGCTTGTTTCAGTGTTCACTCTCTGTGCTTTGTGTAGTATAACAGGAGAGACTATGTGATGGCAGGGTTTACTGTTTTCAGGAGGATTCTAGCTAAGACTTCGGAGATGGTGAAGCTGCCGTTGTTTTGCTTAATTGTATTCGAAACACCGATCAGTGCTGATTCGAGGCACTTGCGTCTGCGGAAATTAGTTTCTTTGATCACTAATTGGGCGTCTCTGAATTTCATGAGATGATTGGAGGAATTTCGGTGTTGTACACAGGCGTTGTTCAGGTTATCGTTCCTACATGCGTAAATGTGTTCATTGAGGCGGGTGTCGAGGTTTCTGGCTGTTTCACCTACGTAAATCTTGTCACAGCCTCCACAGGGTATAGTGTAAACTCCTGCATTGACTGGTTCGTGGTGCTTGGATTTTGTCCTGGTTATATCCTTTATTGAAGTGCTAGAAGCGATGGCGACTCTGGTGTTAGCTTGTGAAAGTGCTTTTGAGACGTTCAGTGCAACCTGACTGTTGGGAAGAATTATAACTTTGCTGGGAGTGGTGTTGATGCGTGGAGAATTTATGATCTGAAGAGCTCTTTTCTTGCAGTCTTTGATGAAAAAAGAAGGAAAATGTAACTCTGTGAATGTTTGGTGAATGTATGTACACTCCTCGTCAAGAAACTCAGGACTACAAATTCGGTATGCTCTTAGGAAAAACCCGATGATGATGCCTCTTTTGGTCTTGGTATCTTGACTGGAATAGAAGTGTGTGAGATCATAAATTCTCCACGCATCAACACCACTCCCAGAAAAGTTATAATTCTTCCCAACAGTCAGGTTGCACTGAACGTCTCAAAAGCACTTTCACAAGCTAACACCAGAGTCGCCATCGCTTCTAGCACTTCAATAAAGGATATAACCAGGACAAAATCCAAGCACCACGAACCAGTCAATGCAGGAGTTTACACTATACCCTGTGGAGGCTGTGACAAGATTTACGTAGGTGAAACAGCCAGAAACCTCGACACCCGCCTCAATGAACACATTTACGCATGTAGGAACGATAACCTGAACAACGCCTGTGTACAACACCGAAATTCCTCCAATCATCTCATGAAATTCAGAGACGCCCAATTAGTGATCAAAGAAACTAATTTCCGCAGACGCAAGTGCCTCGAATCAGCACTGATCGCTGTTTCGAATACAATTAAGCAAAACAACGGCAGCTTCACCATCTCCGAAGTCTTAGCAAGAATCCTCCTGAAAACAGTAAACCCTGCCATCACATAGTCTCTCCTGTTATACTACACAAAGCACAGAGAGTGAACACTGAAACAAGCTGCCTCATTCCAGTTTATATTTGTCCAACCTATTTTTATGTTACCCAAGTAATAGCTTTTATATCCTTTTACTCATGTACGAATTAATTGCTCTACCATATTGTATTACTTTTGTCACTACCACTACTACTACTACTACTACCACTAGTGAACATCGAAATGGTACCTCACTAGTATTCACCTCACTCTGAGCCTTTATATACCCTCTGTGTCCATGTATTGTTTGTAATAGCTTGATAAAGCTCCTGGAGAGCGAAACGTTGCCACAATAAATGTCACATTAGTTGCACTTGTGTCCTTTTACTTGACTCCTGTGTTGTTGGGTTGGTGGTGCTTAAGTATCATGTATGCCAATGTTTTTGAAATTTTGTAGTTTCCAGTGTTGCGTTCTATAGTGTCGGTGACGGCGATTAGTGAGGCTTCTAGGCACCGTCGGCGTCTGAGGTTTGGTTCGGTGAGAACGAGTTGTGCCTCATTCCAGTTCATCAAATGTCCCGTGGAGTCTCTGTGGAGGACACAGGCGTACCTTACATCGTGTCTGTTAGAGGCATTTCGATGCTCATTCAAGCGGACTGCAAGATCTCTGCCTGTCTCGCCTACATATTTCTTGGGACAAAACCCACAGGGGATAGTGTAGACGCCTGCTGTAGAAGTTAGAGGTGTGGGGCTGCGTTTCGTAGTGAGGTCTTTGATAGATGATGTGTTTATGGTGGAAACGTTGATGTTACTCATATCAAGTGCCCGGCGAGTATTCGTGGCAACATCACCACATGGGAGTACTATGAACTGCTTAGGGGGCTGTTCCATGGGCGGTTTGTTGAGAATAGCTTGTGCCTTAAGTCTGCAATCTCGGATGAAGAAAGATGGGAACTGAAGACGTGTAAAGGCTTGTGTTATGTAAGTGCATTCTTCTTCTAGAAAACAAGGGCTGGAGATGCGAAGAACTCTCAAGAAGAAGCCAATGAGGACTCCTCTCTTAGTGCGGGTGTCTTGGTGTGAATAAAAGTGTATAAGATCGTCCTTGTTGGTAGGTTTTCTATACGCTTTGAAGAGAAGTTTGTCACTGTCGGGAGATCTGCACAGTAGAACGTCGAGGAAAGGAAGTTTGCCATCATTTTCGAGTTCAAGTGTAAGTTTTATTGATGGTTCAACTGCATTGATCTTGTTGAGAAGGGCCTGGATATTGAGACGTCTCGGATAGAAAACCAATACATCATCAACGTATCTTAGCCAGGTAACGGTGTTGGGAATGAGGGTGCTGAATTTCTCTGTCTCCAGGTTTTCCATGAAGAGGTTGGCAAGCACAGCACTGAGCGGGCTGCCCATTGCCATCCCAAAGCACTGTTTGTAACAGTTGTCCTGATACTTGAAGAAGTTGAAATTAACACAAAGTTCCACTAGATTGATGAAGTCTAGAAGAGATAAAGGGAGGTCGTGGTTTTCAGTGAGCCTGTCTCAGAATGTTGATTGCAGCGTCAGTAGGAACGTTGGTGAAAAGGGCTGTGACATCGAAGGAAGCCATGCTTTTGTTTTTGACATTCAGGTTGGAAATTCGGGAGAGAAGGTCACCTGAGTGCTTGAGGTGGGCTTGACGAAACGCAGCCCCACACCTCTAACTTCTACAGCAGGCGTCTACACTATCCCCTGTGGGTTTTGTCCCAAGAAATATGTAGGCGAGACAGGCAGAGATCTTGCAGTCCGCTTGAATGAGCATCGAAATGCCTCTAACAGACACGATGTAAGGTACGCCTGTGTCCTCCACAGAGACTCCACGGGACATTTGATGAACTGGAATGAGGCACAACTCGTTCTCACCGAACCAAACCTCAGACGCCGACGGTGCCTAGAAGCCTCACTAATCGCCGTCACCGACACTATAGAACGCAACACTGGAAACTACAAAATTTCAAAAACATTGGCATACATGATACTTAAGCACCACCAACCCAACAACACAGGAGTCACATGATTTCATCGTCTACCCGTCCTAATCATAGGCAGAGGTTGTTTTGATAAGGACCTGCCTCGCATGGGCCAGTAGGCCTTCTACAGTGTTCCTCCATTCTTATGTTCTTATGACATTCCTCAGGTCACGTGCGTCACACCTCACTCTCCGCCTATATATATAATGCCTTTGTACCTCTGTATGTTAGAAGTGATCAAGGTCCCAGGACCGAAACGTTTTCTAATAAATATGTCATAGTGTTTGCTTGCGTCTTTCTAAACCAACTTGTCGGTATTTATTACCAAGGTTTATACCATTCAGCAAGGTACATTATCATCTAAAACTATTCGTCGGAAAGACTGATCTACCAGAAAACACAAGTCAGAAAGAAAATACCTCATTTACTTAAACTCTAGGACCAGACTAATGCTCTCGCTGCTTACTCCTTGTACTGAATGATCAAAACGGACGGTGGATCGAGCCTCCACCACTTCTTGTACTGAATAGCCAACATGGACGGTGGATCAAACATTCACACATATAAATATTCCTGCCATTAGGCCCTCCTCCAGTGTCACAACAAATGGGTGAATCATCCGACAGATCGATATGACTGTTATTACATTCACAGAGAAACGCTAAACCCTCAGGAGTCATACAGTTCCTGGGGAATGAGAGGACAGTTCCAATTCCTTGGCTCAAGAGCCCTTCACCAGCATCAAGTGACCTCTCGAAGGAAGATTAGGGTCAAGTGTGTTGCAGCGGCATCAGATCCTCTCAGGAGGTTCTAAAGTTTACATTTTTACACAGGTCTTGAAAGCTCATACGTGTTATGTAGACTTAAGGAGTAAAAGAGCACAGTACAATGACTAGAATAATACACAACCCGCATATAAGAAACTAAATCATGAGGACTTTTCCGTCTGACATGAACCAGCCACACAGATTCGGCTCCCTTCCCTTCGCGCTTCTCTATGTGACCAGTTAATTAACGGTCTAATCAGACTGAAACGCCGTCATAACTTTCATATGTGCGGGTTGTTTGTATATATAGACTTAATCTTGGACAACGCACAGTATATTATGTAGACTTAACCTAGGATAACACATATACAGGGCTATGTAGACTTAACCTAGAACAACATATGTGTAACACGTATACATAGGACATTATATGACGACCGACTTGTTGAAAAATATATATATTATATATATATATATATATATATATATATATATAAAATATATATATATATATATATATATATATATATATTAGTACATTCTAGTGACTTAACCTAGGGTAATACAATGAAGTCAGTCAATGCGTCTTGTTTCCACCAAAGCAGCAGCACTCTTGAGTCCTCTGAGACTGAGACCCTTTATCTTTGTTTCTTTAACATCTTCCTGTGTGGTTGTCTGTACTACACCCTCCCTTCTTGTGTGGCTGTTTGCACCACACCCTCCCCTCCTGTGCGGTTGTTTGTACTACACCCTCCCTTCTTGTGTGGTTGTCTGCACTACACCTTCCCTTCCTGTGTGGCTGTTTGTACTACACCCTCCCTTGTGTGGTCGTCTGCACTACACCCTCCCTTCCTGTGTGGTTGTTTGTACTACACCCTCCCTTCCTGTGGTTGTTTCTACTACATCTTCCCTTCCTGTGTGGTTGTTTGTACATCCTCCCTGTGTGGTTGTTTGTACTACATCCTCCCTGTGTGGTTGTACTACATCCTCCCTGTGTGGTTGTTTGTACTACATCCTCCCTGTGTGGTTGTTTGTACTACATCCTCCCTGTGTGGTTGTTTCTACTACACCTTCCCTTCCCGTGTGGTTGTTTGTACTACATCCTCCCTGTGTGGTTGTTTGTACTACATCCTCCCTGTGTGGTTGTTTCAACTACACCTTCCCTCCTGTGTGGTTGTTTGTACTACATCCTCTCTTCATGTGTGGTTGTTTCTACTACACCTTTCCTTCCTGTGTGGATGTTTATACTACATCCTCCCTTCTTGTGTGGTTGTTTGTACTACATCTTCCCTTTCTGTGTGGTTGTTTGTACTACATCCTCCCTTCCTGTGTGGCTGTTTGTACTACATCCTCCCTTTCTGTGTGGTTGTTTGTACTACATCCTCCCTTTCTGTGTGGTTGTTTGCACTACATCCTCCCTTTGTGTGGTTGTTTGTACTACATCCTCCCTTTCTGTGTGGTTGTTTGTACTACATCTTCCCTTTCTGTGTGGTTGTTTGTACTACATCCTCCCTTCCTGTGTGGTTGTTTGTACTACATCTTCCCTTTCTGTGTGGCTGTTTATGCTACACCTTCCTTTCCTATGTGGTTGTTTGCGCTACCCATTATTATTATTATTATTATTATTATTATTATTATTATTATTATATTATTATTATTACACTATTATATTCGTGGAACGCGTTCAACCCGTATTTGCAACATCCGAGAAATGGGTAGTAATCAGATTTAATCGCAGGACGGGGTAAGCTATCTCCAATTCTTTGACTCAAGACCCTTTGCCAATATCAAAACTTCCTCACTTACCCCATTAAGGCCGAGATGAAAACTGCATCCATTGCTCACCTTCTGCATGTCCAGTGTGTTAGTCTTCTCCTCGACGAGGGCGTGTAGGTTCCTGACGAAGGTCTGCAGGTTGGTCATCTCTTTCTCCAGTCCCTCCGCTGCCTCATACTGGGCCCTCAGCTCCCCCTCCAGCCACTCTCGCTCTCGCTGCTCCTTCTCCACGCTCTCCGTCAGCACCTGATTCTCCCTAGTTCACGAGAGGTAAATGACATAGGCTCATTTTCCTTCGAGTAGGTAAGTGAAATAGTGATTCTCTGGGCAAGCAAGCGGTTACGTATTGGTAATTTCTGAACTATCCACCTCAATGGTTTCGTGTTAAAAAGGATACAAAGCTACAGTAGCCTAGTGCTGGCAGTAATGAAGAACACAGCTGCGGAAGAAACTTGTATTGCAACGACATTTTGCTCTATAGAGCTTTATGAAGTGCTACACACAGAGAAACACCGTAATAAAAGCTAGTTGTCTTTTTTATTCAGGATACAAAGGCACAAGTGGTAGACGCAGTCGGATATATAGTTACTGAGCATCAACAGGACACGTATTGATAGTACACCTTGAAGCTAGTGTGATGAGGTTTACTTTGTAAGCATGAACAGGAACTTGAAAGACAAAAGGGCAGTGCCCACAATAATAAAAAGAAAAATACAGAACACACTAACTGTGGCAACGTCTTGCTCTTGAGTCGAAACATCTTTACATTAGGCAAAATGTTATCCCGGTAAAAGCTGGCTCTGCATGTCTTTTCTTCGTTGAAAATCAAGATTGCGAGACACAAAAAAACCGTGTTTTTATATAAAAAAAAATCCTTTTATCACAGACAATGGATACCGGATGTACCGATTGCTTATTCATAGCGATACTGAAAAGCTTTGCAAAATATTTTCCTGTTTGTGAAGGGTATTTTGACGTGTGTGTGTGTGTGTTTCTTTTGTAACTTGTTTGTACTTATCTTTCAAGGATAGAGTCCTTCACCCTGGAGACATGCCAAGGTAGTTCTACAAGTTATTATTAGTATAATAATGGGGGAGCGCTAAACCCGTATGATTATATAGTGCTGGGGGGATGGAGGGTATTCAGGCTCAATTCAGGGAACTGGAGCACAGATCCGATTCCCTAGATCAAGAGCCCCTTACCAGCGTCAAGAAACCTCCATGGAGGGGTAGTTCTACCAAAGTTATTCTAAACACTGCAATCTGTTTCCACAAGGATTATATACCCCAACTAATCCCTCAAGCTCTTTGGACCTCTCTGTGCGAGTCTTACAAGACCCCCATTATCTGAACCCTTCAAGACTAACCATCTTGTCTTAAGATCATGTAATAAAAAATAACCCATGTGTGGTGCACCTGACAGACTTAAGTGTTTATGTTCATGTGCGTGTAACCATTCCAAGTCCAATATAAGAACTAGAATTCACGTCTTGCATTAACTAGAATTCACGTCTTGCATTAACTCACTGCATGGAGTGGGATTAGAACCTGTGACAAGTCATTCCTAAAGCTTGCTGTCCATTCCCTCCACTGTATTATGCTGGTCAAACAGGATTCGTCCAACTAGGTATATTTCTATACACACTAGTAAGGTTAACATGGGGGTCCCACTGTGACCACAAATGCAGGTTTTTACAGACGAATCTCGCATTAGTTTTTATACTTTTGTCACTACAGTGACAAAAACATTAATTTACGATAAACCTGAGAAAAAATAATATAAAAAATGAATATGGATTAGATCAGAATAGATTACATTACATTCTGTCTCAGAAACAGCTAGTTTATTGTGTATCCCATATCCATCATTTAGACGGTAGCGCAAGAACAGATAAATGCGCAAAAGGCCTAGAGACTAGGCCCCAAAATGGTTAATGTCATTAATTGTGTAATAATGAATAAACTGAGGACTAAAAATGAAACGGTGAAAGTAATACATTTTTTTCATCAGGACAACGCTTCGCTGTGTAGAGCTTTGTCAAGCCATGTTTCGCTGTTTAAAGTTTTATCAAGCCAAGGTTTATTGTTTAGAGCTTTCTCAAGCCACTTGGATCCAACATTATAACGTACCATAAAAGTATCTGGCATGTTCACTACTCACCAAAGCAAATATGTTAGGTAAAATTCATTGGAAAACGAGACAAATAGTTGGAGGTGATTAGTCACTCCGCTTGCTTGGGTTAGTTAAGATCGTCAGGAAACAGGACAAGTGTTTCCTGACGCGGGTCTTAGTCATATTGATGACCCGCTGGTCATCCGACAGAGGCCTTCCGCTGGCTTACCGCTCCACCCCTTTAAAAATTAAGATTATAACTTCTAGTCACTTAACCTTGATGAATCTCTCGTAAACTACGGGACTGATGACCTTAAAGTTTAACGACTTCACGTCTTCCACCGTCGCAACGGATTCATCAAGGATGAGGGACTGATCACCTCAAACTACAAGTCTTCCACCGTCTGTAATGGACTGATAATGCTACTGGCTAGCGAAACGTCTCCACAGTAGAGATAGCCAAGTGTTGCACACGTGTCTATTTCATTAGCAGATTCATACCAACATTACCAGCTTGCTATTAACGTGTCCAGTTCACTATTCTATTACAGAAGTCATCACAAAGCAGGCAACATTGGTCATTCTCAATTATTCACGTTCCACAAACCATACTAGACAAACCAGGATAAAAACTATGTAGGTAGAATTCTTGCTAGGCATGTCGGAAGCATTGTGCATACAGTACTATGGGCTTTCAAATTATTATGCATTTTTGTATAATGATTTGAAATAAAATTATTATATCCACAATTAGTTCCAGGTTATTAGACAAAAGTCACAGTAAATTAAAAAGAAATGGAAATAACCTCACCATTTAGGCTATTTGCTATCTGTAGGTGTCATAGACAGTGTCATTGTTTCTCTCAAAGTGTGACCTACCTGGTGAGGGTATCAATGCGTCGCTCGAGGTCCTTGCGGGCCATGAGTGCCTGGGCCCTGGGCACTGATGTGGCCAGCTGCTGCGTCAAGGATCTGATCTCTTCCCTGGCGGCCGCAGTCTCTGCCTGCGACGTTCGCAGCTGCGCCTCCACCTCCTCCACCGTCACCCTGGACCCACACAGCAGCGAGGACAAAAAATGTAGCTTAAGAGAGTGGTAGAGGATCGCACAGCAACCAAAACGCATCTAGTTATTACATTCATGTCTGGAACGCTAAACCAGTACGTGTTATATAGCGCCAGGGGAATCCGAAGTAATCAGATTTGAGCCAGTGAAGGGGAGGACTGTTACTGTGGATTTTTTTTTTTACATAATTTACTAAATGTAGAACATATAAATGAATATAATAATTGCGTATTAAAATGTGATGCTATTTGGACCCTTCAAGAAATTCTGAGTGAGGGGGAGGCGGAACAGCTGCTAAATGGAGCCGGGGGTAGACGCCATTTGCAATTTTTGAACACTGGTTGTCGTGGGAAATTATGTTAATCGCGCATTCTCGGAGGCCTAATGGGGTGTATCGGTCTCAATTTGTAATTTAGAAATTGCTGGCACGTTCCTGCTGAAGAATTGGGACAGGAAATTTACGGGACCTCAAGAACTGCATGTGGAGGACGGAAAAATAGAGGACTTCAATGAATCCTTCCCATTAACACCTTAGCTGAGTTGGCCTTCGTAAGTCCTAGCTGTTACGGTGTGTTCCATCAGTATTAAGTGTCTTCCAGCAATTAAATGGTATGTGGGAATACAGAGTACTTTATACTAATAGTTATTCCTGCGTATCCAGCAAGCTTAATCTCATAGAGTCCACTAAACTTCAATGTACCAGAGTAGCTGGTTTTTAATTTTATAATCATTAATGTCATGACTAGCTTTTTGTGAAAGTGGAGAGGAAGTAAGCATTCGAAGGAGGTGCAGTTCAGTGACCTACTGTGACTTAAGTCCCACTTACCTCACCCAAATTACTTGCTCGTAATAATTCAGGTAATGTTCTGTAAACCTCCTGCAGGTGATTTGCTCATGCTAATAATAATAATTTTCAGGGGTACAATTCCTTCTATCAAAAGCCCTTCACCGGCATCAATGAACCTCCTTTGTGGGCTACATTTGTACGGAAATACGAAGAATTATCCACTAAGAAACTATAGCTATACTTTTTACAAACCTAATATATTACAATAGTGTTGAAATATAACAAACATGAACAATAATCAAGGTTATGATGAACATAAGAATAAAAACAATAACTGGTGTATTAACATTTACATTATCAGGAAAGACACTCCTGCGACTTTGGAAAAACATCAATAATTACTTCTAATATGCAAGCTATGGAAGCAAGAGCTATCAATAGCCATCATCTTCGGGGAAGCAGAGTCAATATAGAACAAAACCTCGCTGCTCTTACAAAATAAAAGCATCTCATTGTCATTAGTACAAAAGCCTAAGGTAATATCAGGGTACATCATTATACGTTAAAATAATATACACTACCAGTGATTTTGCCGTAGAATACTTTTTAGTTCTACAGTGATAACAGCTATGGATGGACCTGCAACGAGGGATGACGACAGCCATAGTTAGAGATGCAACGAGGGAGAATGACTTACGTTTCTTCTCCTTCATCAGCATCCTGAGGGGTGGAGATGGAGACTGGTGCGTCCTCATGCTCCGTCTGCTCTTCCGAGCCAGCGTCCTGCTGGCGGATGAGCCATTATTATTATTAGAAACTCAATACCTTAGGAAGAATTATTTGTTGTTAAGGAATAATAGTTGTCATGTGGGAGACACTTAAAAACTTTTCATAGGCACAACTCAAAACTGGCCAAAGAAATATTTTTACATTAGTATTCCCGAAATATTAACAACCCAGATTAATAACAGAAAATCTTGCTTCTGATCACTAGTCTTGTGGAAAATTACATTTATCTGTATGTAACTCATTATGTACATAACAGTAAATGATAACAAAGATAATTATTATTTATCAGAGTTACATAGACAAGTAGGAATTTGGGACACCTAGGTCACAAAAATGTCCCCCTTCGATACCTACCACTGTCATATCCACAAGTTGCTCTAGACCGATTAATTACAAATGAAATATACATCACCAGGAATTCTGGTAAATATATAAATTTGTGGACTGTATGTTAAAATTAATAAATGATATATATATATATATATATATATATATATATATATATATATATATATATATATATATATATATATATATATATATATATACATTTATATAACAGAGAATATCTTAAAATCACTCACCAATTTGACTGGAGATTAATGTGTCATGTACAGGACCCCCCCTTTTGCCTACATTTATGAAAAATTTACTGGCCAGAATTTAAACATAAATTAGACAGCTTATCTGAGGTTCCTGGAGTTGTCCTGTCCTGTCGCCTGATACTCAAATTATGCAGGAATGCACATCCAACAATTTCGGCTCCTATTTGAGAGGTGTCAGCCCAATTTTAATCTCTAGAGCACGAAAATTCTTCCGATTTCACTAACTTTCTGTTGACCAGTTCAAACAGCAATGGCGAGTCTCTTCTGCGCAGGTGCAGCTTCCCATTTTCGATAACATAATTTTTATTAAATACAGTATGGCCCATATATACATATAACTACTGTATTTCTGGAAAATATATACAGTATTTTCCACAAGTCTAAGGATTTAGTAAAACAAGAAGTTTAAAAGGCATCTATCTTTACCGAACAAAGACATTTTGTACAATTATATTTAAAGTTTGCATGAGAAATAGTCGGAATAGATTATTATTATCATGGGGAGCGTTAAACCCATAAGGATTATTCTGTACTTGGGGGAGGGGAATGGAAGGCATTCAGGGAACTGGAGCACAAATCAAGTTCCCTAGATCAAGAGCCCTTCAACAACATCCAGGAACCTCCCTTGAGGGGCCGCAGGTTAGAACATCACTGAAATAATGCCTGATTATATGCCAAATGTAAGTAATCAACTTACAAATTGTGGAAAATTACATTTATCTGTATGTAACTCATTATGTACATAACAGTAACTGATAACAAAGATAATTATTATTTATCAGTTACATAGACAAGTAGGAATTTGGGACACCTAGGTCGCAAAAATGTCCCCCTTCGATACCTACAACTGTCTTATCCACAAGTTGCTCTAGACCTATTGATTACAAATGAAATATGTATCACGAGGAATCCTGGTAAATATATAAGTTTGTGGACTGTATATTAAATTAATAAAGGATTATATATACACACATATACATAACAGAAGGAGAATATTTTCAACTCACTCACCAATTTGACTGGAGATCAAGGTGTATCATACTCAGAAAACCTCACTGTCTATACATGAAAATAACTCTGGCCAGAGTTAAAACATCACAGACTTATCTGAGGTTCCTGGAGCTGTCTTGTCCAGTCGCCTGATATCTCAAGTTATGCAGGAATACACGTCCAACAATTTCGCCTTCTATTTGAGAGGTGTCAGCCCAATTTTAACCTCTAGAGCATGAAAAATTCTTCCCATTCTCTAACGTTTTCTTGGTTCATTCAAAACACAAATGGCGAGTCCTTCTGCACAGGTGCAGCTTCCCATTTTCGATAACAATTTTTATTAAATACAATATAGGCCATCTATTTACCAATAAATTACTGTATTTCTGGAAAATATATACAGTATTTTCTACACAAATGTTAATTATAATCATATAAAGGATATATCATGTAAAACTCATAAATATCAATATGTGTAACTCGCTTGCACACAACCCCAAGTCCACACAGTGAATATAGTATATATGTGCAGATACCATCTAGTCTGCTACTAAATCCACAAAATATAGTGTAGACACCAACAAGGAGATCAGAGACAAGGTCCATGCAATCCTAGAAAGACTGAGTCTACAAAACTGGGGAAATACTGACTACACTTACTACTTACTATGCAGAAGCAAACCTTTTCCATACTAAGCAATGCAGAATTGTGCCCAGTAGACTAAACAATTAAATTCTAACACCATTCAAATGGGTCAAAGCCAATCCCAAGACATGCAGTGAACTCATTATAAGCACACAATCTATATACACTGGGCAGATGCATCAAAACTTAAGTCCCAAACTGCTTTACAGTGAGTGAACACGAAGCTGGACACATTACTCACACACGACCTAGTGTTGACTTGTTTCTCCGATTATGTTTAAGTATGACAAGGTGCAGAAACTAAGTTCACAAAAAAATGACATAATGTAAGATTTGTGTTCATGAAAATGTAGCAGTGTTTTATATATGCTCCAAACGAAATTGAGAGTAACGACCCTTCCTCTCAGAGGCTGTATTCGACAAAAAATGTCGTATTAACAAGAAATGCTCAGAAATTTTAAATTCTGCAAATGACATTGTGTAAGGTGCTTGAGTGTGTGTTAATGGAGACAAAGCAACCAGAGCTCATATCCTTTACCTAGTCAGCAGCAGCACCAAGTGCTGAACTCGAGCACAGGTGGGGATGGAAGGTGCACTTTACTGTTTGCCAGATCTTAGCCACGCCCACCACTTGTTATGGAGGGAGCACCTCCACCCCAGCTCACTCAACATCAACTCTGTTACACAGTATTTTGAAAATAACAAATAATAAAGAGAAAATTATGAGTTTTACAATAGAGGCCTGGACATTATCTCAACTACAAGCTGTGACTGGTATTCCTTGATATAATAACAATTCTAACAGTAAACAAAAATACCAGCCAACAAAACTAAACTTTTTGTATCCAGTTCGGGAACCCAATTAGTTGTTTTAAGGAAACTTTGATGCACTGATCACCACTCTGATTTTGTTGAGTATCCATCACGTAAGGTTTTTGAAAATCTTATGATCATTATTTTGGCTTTTGAAGGTTGAAGAACCACATGATATATGTTACCTAACAGTCATAAGTATTACATTACTAATATATGTTAGGTTAGGTGCAGTGCATGTACTGACACAGACTAATCTTTCTTAACCCAAATTTGTGCATATGCATAACAAAAATAACAGCAATTTTCATAGTGATACAGACATATTTCCATTACAGTTGTCAGGCTTTTTTTTTTTCTTGTATTGAGTATAGTTCTCCAGCACCAGTGTCAGCAGTATGATTCTCCCTCACCAGTGTCAACAGTATGGTTCTCCCTCACCAGTCTCAGCAGTATGGTTCTCCCTCATCAGTGTCAGCAGTATGGTTCTCCCTCAACAGTGTCAGCAGTATAATTCTCCCTCACCAGTGTCAGCTGTATGGTTCTTCACCAGTGTCAGCAGTATGGTTCTCCCGCATCAGTGTCAGCAGTATGGTTCTCCCTCGCCAGTGTCAGCAGTATGGTTCTCCCGCATCAGTGTCAGCAGTATGGTTCTCCCTCATCAGTGTCAGCAGTATGGTTCTCCCTCAACAGTGTCAGCAGTATGGTTCTCCCTCACCAGTGTCAGCAGTATGGTTTTCCCTCACCAGTGTCAGCAGTATGGTTCTCCCTCACCAGTGTCAGCAGTACGGTTCTCCCTCACCATTGTCAGCAGTATGGCTTTCCCTCGCCAGTGTCAGCAGTATGACCCGTAAGGGTCATATAGCCCTGCAACCATGACTGA